GGCCCCGCTCGCTAGCGCGCCGCAGCGGCCACTTCCGGCGCGACCATTTTGTTTTTCACCGCTCGCCAAGGGTAGCCGCGTCCCGCCGGCGGTAGGGCCGTGCTCCGCTTGTCACCATGTTCCCGGTGGCTAGGGCTGCTCTGAACCTCACTGGTAAGCAAGGAGGAGGCTTTCTGGAGTCGAGGGGTGCTGGGGGTGTTCCGCGGGAGCGGGCGGTTTTGTCAGGGGCTCTCCCCCCGGTTTCTTGCCTGCCCTGTGGGGACTGTCCCTGAACAGCCCCTGGGCTCGCTTCGCCCCCGGGAAGGGTTGTGAGGGCAGCTGAGGGGCTGCGGGCGGCTGCCTCCTCCTCCTTCCTCTTGCTGCCTTTTTTTCTTTCTTTTTTTCTGCGTCTTTTACTTCCTAGTTGCTTTTACTTGAGCTGACCTTGGGTTCCCTTCCTCGGGGCTTTTCCTCTTTGATAGTAACTAAAGGCATATCCAGGTTTTGTAACCTGAGGTGGCAAAGTGTAGTCAATGACCAGCCCTTAAACTGAAGGGTAAAGTTGCCTCTTCACTGATAGACTCCCCAGTGCTTAACCCAGTCCTCTCAAATCTGGTCCAGATTCATGATGTGCTTAGCCCGAGGTGCACGCATCTAAAGTAAACGTGCTTAGCAGTGTTTCTTCTGGTAGATGTTCAAGCTTTTCTTTACTGAAAAAAAAAAAACCAAAACAAAACAATTTGTGCAGCCTCACAGAGCGTGGTAGGGATGTAGTAGCATTCTGGGTATTGCCATCATCTTTTCTAGTCATGTTTGGGTAAATGTGAACCATTGACCTGAAACTAAAAGATTAAATTTTGTAATGTCTATCTTTATGCAGAGATCAGTGTCTCATCAGCTGCTTTGCACGCAACTACTAAACAGTCTCTGTGTTTTGAAGCTGGTGGTTTGATTCTTCATGCTGTCTTCTCCTTAACAAGTGTACCTTTTATAGTGAACATTTATAATATACATCGTACATTCTGTCATCTGAAGATATCCTCCTGTATTTTGTTCTCTATGATTTACCTCATGCGAAGGCCCACGGTTATTTCCGCTTCCTTCTTCACCTCCCTCCCCTTCCTTCAAAAATCTTGAAGGAATCAGAAAGGTGTTACCCGTACCCACTGTCTTCAGCTTCTTAATTTGATCATGAGCTTCATCCTGAAAATGCTTATATTGGGTACACATACTGGCAAGATAGATATTTACGTATAGAAATCTGAAACTTTTAAGTACCAAACAAAGTATTTTATTAGAGAAGTAGTAATACGTAAAAGTGTACTTGAACTTCCACACTGAGGGCCCAGGGGAAACATGTTAAGAAAGAAGGTAACTTAGAGGATTTTCTTACTGGAATTAGACTTCAGGAATAACTTTCTAGAGGGAGATTGGGAGAGCTGAAACAAAATGCAAGGCTTTCTGGATATCCTGTGGTTTGGAATCATTCCAAAGCTCTAAGTCCAAAAGATTAATTTTTTTCAGCTTTTCTTAAAGTCTTTTAATGCTTACACTTGCCTCTCTGTGGGTGGGAGATGAGGATTGTGAATGGTTTGAATGTGTATTTCAGTTGATTTCTGTACTCCTAATTCTCTTTAACATGCATTAGCTCGTAGCATTCAGCGTACTGCGGTAAGACAAGCTCATCGCAAATATGAGCCTGACTTCCATGATAAATATGGAAACCTGGTACTCCTTGGTGGAGCCGTAGTTTTTACTGCTGTCTGGGGATATGTAAGTCGTCCTTTTTTTTACCACTCTGTTGTGACTATAGCTGTAAACTTGCAAACTATTAAGTTTCACAAGGGCTTACTTGTTTGAAATAATTTAGGTGGTCAGAATTTAGGCACTTTTTATGTAACTGAATAGTAATGTGATAGAGGTGAAAGTTGTGTTCATATTTTGAGTTGTTACACAAATTTCTGAGTCAGTCTGTTGCTTGGTTTTGAAATGTAGTAGAAATGCAACTGTTCGCTGTTTTACTGGGGATTTCTAAGCTGTACAGGTAGAGGTTTCAGCAGAAGAATTTATAGATGAAAATAACAGTATGGTGATGAGGTTTTTACATTCCAGATTCTTTGTTCTAAAGCTAGATATTTTGAAATGGAAAACTGAAGTATTTAAGTATTATTCAATATAAATATATTGCACTTGCTTTCTTAAAAGATTAATGAGATGTCATGTTCTAATACAAGAAGTCTAAACTGAAAAGAATAGAAATATCAGAAGGTTTCTTTGATTTCAGAGTTAATAATCTTGATTTTTATCTTCCTACAGGTGTTTACACAAGCTGGAATTGAGTGGGGCTTGTCACCTGTGGGCAGAGTCACTCCAAAAGAGTGGAGGGAGTAACAGCCTTTGCTTGTAATGAACTGGTCCAAACTTTCACTGAAAGAGTGATCATGTAATGGCATTTGTTCCCTGATTACCA